TCCATGGCTGGGGCTGAAGAACCAGTCCCAAAAGCTGGGCAGTGAAATCCCAGAGCCCCACCACACACAGATGCTGTTCCTGGATTCCTGACAGCCCCCTGAGCAGCACAGGAGACAAGAGCTCGTGTGTGCATTCCCACTCCACAGCCCCAGAGAGCACAAACCCACGGCAAAGGGACAAAGCAGGAGAATGGCTCAGCTCCTGGAAGCATTCCCGATCTCCTGGATCCCTGTGCACACCTCCTGCCTGCTTGGACACTTGGGAATAAAGGGCAGGAAAGGCAAGGGGACAAAAATCCTCTCTGCCTCAAAGCTGCCACGTGGTCTAAACAGGATGAGAGGAAACAGCCTCCAGCTGTGCCAGGGGAGGCTCAGGTTGGACATCAGGTGGAATTTCTCCCTGGAAAGGGTGGTCAGGCCCTGGCAGAGGCTGCCCAGGGAGGTTTGGAGTCCCTTCCAGCCCTGGAGGTGTCCAAGGAAGACCTGGAGTGGCACTCAGTGCTCTGGGCTGGGGACAGGGTGGGGATGGGGCACAGGGGGATCCATGGGCTGGGAGGGCTCTTCCAACCTCAGCCATTCTGAGATTCTGTGTGTGAATTAAGGATCCCAGAGCAAACCCCAGGCTGAGCAGAGGGCAAGGTGAACTTGCTATTAGAACAGAAGGACACAGCACAGCCCAGGTGTCTGTCCTGCTGGGTGTGAGTGCTGCCCTACCCAACCCTGTGGGAAAACTCCAAGACCAGTCAGTCCCATCCTTCTCCTTAATCCTCATTACCCAGTTCTGAATGAATTTATCCTTTACTATCATCACACCAGCTACAGTGGAACACATTAATTATGCAGTTCAGATACAATTCCATACCAACCTTCCTCCCTACAGATGCCAGCTGACTTTCCAAAAGCCTGGAGCAGAGCCAGGTGTTTCAAAGACACCACACCTTGGATTTGTCACCTCTTGAACAGATATATCCCATTATCAAAGATGTGACCAGCTTTTCTCTCTATGTATTTTTATATCTATATTAAACACACATAGGAATATATGTGTGTTAGAATCTGTCCCTTAGGATCAACTGATTGAAGTGCTTCTCACAGGACGGGATGTTTGTAGCACTTACTGCTCTCCAGGTGTTTGAGCTTCAATCAGAAACTATTAATCAATTAAAGAGCAAGCCTTTAAGAAAAAAAAACAACAAACAACAAAAACAAACAAAAAAAACCCCTATTTTTGAATGTTTGACTCAAAAATTCTGCTGCAAGCAGTTTGTGGTTTCAGCCTGGACTATCCCAGACAGCCAGACCCAGCAAACCACACTTTGGATGTGAGTCCTCTGTGAAAATACCCTCCACTCTGCTCTCCCCCAAAGCACCAGGGGTGGGGACTCCTCTCTGCTCTTCCTCCTGGGAGCCCCTTTTTCCTGGCCTGCCCTCCACTTGGCACACTCACAGCCAGGGAATGCTGAAGGGGGATGCCTTTGGAGCAAATCCTGCTCTCCAAACAGGGGAAATCCAGCTGGAATCTCCTGCCAGGCAGAGCTGAGAATTACCAGGGGCAGAGGGTTGGGAAATGCCTTTGTCTGGTGCATCAGAGCCCTGATTCCATCCATCAAAGCCAGCACAGCAGGGACAAAAAGCTGTGCCACAGCAAGGCCTGGCTCAGCTCCCTGCCAGAGGGGATGGAAAGGGGAGCAGGAAAAGGAAAAATCCCTGCTTGGCCCCCGAGTTCCTGCTTTGGGAACATCTTTAGAAATCCAGCTGGGGCTGAAACAGCTTCCTTTGCAGGGCACTGGCAGAGCTCATGGAGAGCAGGGGCAGGGAGGGTGGGCTGGGCTCCCAGCTCAGAGCCAGGCTGAGCTGAAGGGTCCATCAGCAGGTCTTGCACCGGGATGTTGTCACCCATCGCTCACACTTGCACAGGATGACATCTCTGGCTGGCAGGGCCTGTCAGTCCTGTCTCAGCAAGGTCCCTGTGAGCAGGGAAATGGGAAACAAAAACCAGGGGAGATGGCTGCGGGTTAAGGTCTGTCTCAGACCATCCTCACAAGCAGGCCCTGCTTCTCGCCCTGCCACTCGAAATGTCACCAAAAAGGATGTCTGAGGTGTTGAAACACCACAGAACTCATTTCATGCCTTTTATTTTTCTTCCATTTGTGAGAACAAAATAGCTCAGGCTTCTTCTGTTGCAGTATTAAAACACACACACAGGTAGTTGCTGTAACATCCCACAGACCAACCCCCAAAACCATCCAAAAGGCCCATTTTCAGCCTCTCTTACAACCAAGCTGGGCTGGATTAGCCCATTCCAGCCTTTTTGCAGGGTCTGACTTGTGCTGGTTTTATTCTCCACACACAAAATAACCCCTTTGAGATGTGGTGCAGGTCATGGAAGTGCTTTTGCTTCTCCCCACGGAACTTCCCAAGGACTGCAAACACTGTGCACGGACCTTCCCAGCCACAGGTACAGCAGGGATTCCTACAGACATCCCATGTGCTCCTTCAGGGCCCACAGGGATTGTTAAGGCTTCTAATAACTCTTTCCAGGGTTCAGAGCCTTCACAGGGACAGTCCTCACACCACCCTGCCAGGACTTGATCCTTTTATTTTAACAGCAGCAATCTTTGCACAGATTTTCTCCTCTAGAAATTAATCAGCGCAATTTTACTTGGAAAGGAAGGAAAACCCACCTACACTGGTCTAAAAAAAACCCAAACCAAACAAAGCCCTCCATCATCAGCTCTTCCCAATAAGATTTAATTCCCTACCTCTGTTTAAATCAAAAGAAGGACCCTGCCTCTCCCCTTTTCTGAAACACTTGGAACACCTCTGCATATATCCCCGCTTCTTCTTAAGGGCCAATAAAGTGGATTAATTTTTTGAGGTTTATAAGCAGAAGAAAAGCTGAACAGAGGCTTAACCCCCCTCTGGAGCTCGCACAAAGCTGGGATTTCACGAGCTGACTCGCAGCAGGAAGCGTCACAAATACACCTCCCAAAGGATGTTTTTCAAACCTCATCTATCTGGGAAGGTTTTGCAAAGCAGGCCTCGAACACTAATTGTCTTTGGGGCACTAAAATGGCCCTTGCAGATGGGAAGGAGCAGGGCAGGATTCCTCAGTGGGAGTGGCTGTGCCCTGCCAAGCACAGCCCAGGCTGTTTGAGACATCTCATGTTCAAAGGCTTTGGTTTTCCAGCTCCAGGGGGAGATGGCAGAGGAAATGTCTCTGTGTGAGCCCCAAAGCAGGCAGGGAGGATCTGCCCAGCCCACATGGCAATGCCTTCAACACCAGAACTGGGGGGTTTGGCTTGTTCCTCTCAGCTCTGGGACCTAAAGCTGCCAGGATGGCAAACACCCCCCTCTGGATTTGCAACAAATCACAGATATCTGAAAGCTTTTCTAGTGATGTGGATTTAACCCTAACCCCAGAATTCCCTGTGTCCATGTGAGCAATCCAGGACAGGCTGCAGTGCCCGGACACCAACCCTGGAAGCACACACAGGGTGAGTAAAGTCAAATTTGCTTTTTAGGCTCTTTCCCCCCCCTCCTCCAGGACTTTTGGCCTGACCCACACGTGTGTCCTGCCAAAATCTCTCCCCACCATCATTCCATGAGCTATTTCACACCTCCCATCGGGCTCTCATGTGGAGCCAACTGCAGGCAGACACTGCAGGGCTCCAAAGCCTGATGGAATGGAATCTTTCCCTGGACACTGGGAGAGGCCCTGGGATGTCAGGGGGAAAGTGTCCCCGGGGTAGAAATGATGCTCAGCTGTGCAGTTCCTTCCATACCTTCCCAGTCATTGGATCCAGATGCCACAAGTTTCTCAGCTCTTTATGGATCTGGGAAAGAGGGATGTGGAATGACATGGGAGAGGGGAATGACAGGCTCAGAGCAGGGAGCACTGGTCAGGGAGGTACTTTAAAAGAGAAGAAAAATGGAAATAAAAAAAAGGAAGAAATACAGGAAAAATAAGGAAGAACTGGGTAAGATGATAGGAGAAAAGGAAAAGAGGAAAAAGGGAAAGATAAAAAAAGGGAAAAAGGAAAAAAGGGGAAAGAGAAAGAGGGAACAGAGGAAAAAGGGAAAGGGAAAAATAAAAAATAAATAAAGAACATGAGAAAAGGGAAAGGAAAACAGGAGATAAAAAAGGGAAAGAGGACAAAGGGAAAGAGGGAAGAGAAAGGCGAAAAAGAGAAAGGAAGAAATGAAAAAGAATAGGAGAAAAAGAGGAAATTGAAAGGGAAAGCAAAAGGAGAAGAATAAAAGGGGAAAGAGAAAAAGGGGAAGAGGGAAAGGAAAGAAAGGGAAAGAGGAAAAGGAAAAAAGAAAAGAAAGTAAAAACTAAAGAAAAAAGGAAATACGAGCAAAAGGAGGGAAAAAAAGGAAAAAGAAAGGAAGACAAAAGGTGGCTGGTTCTGTGTCCAGCCTTTAAAGTGATGAGGTCAATTCCCAGCGTTTCCAATCCAGTTTAGTCAAGCACTGGAGGAGAAGGGAAGGGAAGGGAACTTCTCAGGAGCTGGGTTTATCAGGAGATGGGGAAGCCATGGGATGGAGCAGCAGATTTATCTGCCCAAAGCATCCTGACACCACAGCAGAATTCCACACCAGGTGTCTGGAGACATCACTGGGAGCAGGTCAAGCATCCCCATGTCCTGTGTGAACAAGCCACTGGTGGCATTCTCCCAGCTGGGGTCACTGGTGTGTCTGGGTGTCTGTGGTCACCCCCAGACTGCCCTCACACACACACTTCTGTCCCTGGGCTCATCCTAGGAAGGATTATTTCCTTCCCACGCTCCTTTTTCTCCCCTCAGTGCTTTGTATTTCCTACAATGAGTTGGTGGCACTACCACAGGCAGCATCTTGGAGCAAGGGAAGAGCTGGAAACTCCCCCTCCCCAGCACAGAAAAGTGTGACACCCCGATGTTCCAGGGCTGTGCTGGCAGGTGGAATGAGAAATACAGGCTGTAAACAAGGGGTTGGGGGGGAGAACACATGGCATTTACCTGACAGCAGATCTGCACCAGGTAGACCAGCTCCTTGGACTCACAGCCATTCCTGGTCACTTCGTTCTGTTCCTCCGGGAGCGAAAGCTGCACCAGGAGAAGAGGGAGAGAAGGAGCAGGTGAGTGACAGTCACATCACACAGAGCATCAGGGAATCAGGGAAGGGGAAACACTGAGCACTCCCAGCTCACACAGACCCTCCAGTGCCGGTGGGTTGTGGCCCCTCACCTGGCAGGTTCAAAAATTAAAATGTGCTTCAAAAATAAAACAATTATATGGAGGCGAACTGCTCGAGCCAGGGATTAAAGCTCCAGCTTAAGAGTCTGCAAAATTAATTGTTCACTGAAAATACCTCTATAAATATTCATGTATCAGATAAAAGTGCTTTCCCCTTCCCCCCATTTTATTCATTTTTTATTTTATACATTCAGGCAGGCATTAGGTAATAAAACATATCTCCTCATTTCAGTGTTGTCAAGCAATTCACCCCAACAGGGAATTTTATGGCCCCATTCATCACATACAGAGTCATTAACTGCAACATCAGGATGTGCCTGTTTGGGAGCAGTGAGGGGAGATTTAACTGTCTCATTCCTGCACATCTACTGAGCCTTGAGCATCCTGGTCCTGTTACTCCCACTGGTCTTGATATCCCCCACTGAAAATGGCTCATGGTTAATGATCTTCTCTGAAAACCAAGATTACAGACGATCATAAGCAAATTAAGACTGTTTGCAAAGCAAATAAATAAAGGAAATGTGTACATAAAACTTAAGGTCTGTAAAAAAATCCTAATTAGCTGAGAGCAAAAAAAGAAAAACCACCAACCCTGAAACAAATGAAAGCAGAAATGAAAAAAAAAGGACTGAGGAGAATCCCCAGTTGCCATATTTAATGAGTGTAAGCAGGGAAAAGGAGAAGTGGGTGATGAGAGACACGAACCTCCTGAAAGGGACACAGGAGTTCCCTCCCATATAAACAACCACAACACCCTGAATGAATTCACTTTTCATCCTGCCAGTCCCCTCCCTGCTCTCTGTGAGGAGTTCCCAGAGCACACCCATTCAGCCTCTTCCTTCACCAGCCCAACTCCCTGCATGCTAATCTCCTGATGGCTATACACAGATGATTACACAGATCTCCGGACCAAACAGAGCTTTTAGATTCGTGCAATCTACTGTATTTTTACACCACTAAATACATTTAGAAACTTGTGTGCAAACGCTGACCACTCCCTCCTGCTGGTGGCGCAGGCAACACTTTGCATGGCGCTGCTTTTTGGGAAGCAAATGCAAATTTTCCATCAAATAATTGATATATTCTAAATCCAGTCTGCACGTTCAGGCTGCAGCCCAACAGTGCAGAGCAGATAAAACAGGGGTACCTCCCTGGGGACACCCCAGAGCCCTTGGCTGGGGCTGCCCATGCAGGGAAGGACATGGAAAGTGTCAAAGCCCTGTGGATGCTCTGGCAGATGAAACCACTCAGTGTCACCTCCATCTGGGTCTATCTTTACTCCTCAGAAATCCTCCCCCTCCAGAATCCCCATCCTCTGTTTCCTCAGCCACTGCTGCAGCTCCTCCTGTGCCTCTCTTTCCTCCACACTCATTTTTTTGGTCTCCCAGGCAGTCCCCTCCTTCCACCCATCCCCTCTCCCTCCTGCAGAGCTTCCAGCAAGAGCCTGAATGATTTCCACGCTCCCTCCCCCCCCCAGGCTGGTGTGAAACACAGTCCCAGAGATAAATCTCTCTGAGTGCTGCACAGCATCTTAATTCCACTTAAAAACTGCACTCCAGGAAGAGGCAATGGGAAAGATCTGTAAGAGGGACTTTCCTCTCTGTGTGTAAGAGGGTGAAGATTCCTGCCATTAACGTGATGAAACACAACCATCAGTTCTGTATTGCACCTTCTGCCCAACTTCACCACCATTCTTCGCTGGCTGAGTCTTGAAACCAAAGTCAAATTAAAAACAACACAGCAGACAGGAGAGGAAAGCTAATCCATGCTGGGGGGATTTTCCATGCCTGCCAGGTAACACGGAGCTCTGGTTTAATTGGGGCCACAAAGATGATGAGAGGGCTGGAGCACCTCTCCTGTGAGGAAAGGGTTAAGGGTTAGGGTTAGAGTTGGGATTGTTCAGCTCCAGGGAGACCTGAGAGCCCCTTGCAGGGCCTAAAGGGGCTCCAGGAGAGCTGGAGAGGGACTGGGGACAAGGGATGGAGGGACAGGACACAGGGAATGGCTTCCCACTGCCAGAGGGCAGGGAGAGATGGGATAGTGGAAGAAATTCTTGGCTGAGAGGGTGGGCAGGCCCTGGCACAGGTTGCCCAGAGAAGCTGTGGCTGCCCCTGGATCCCTGGAAGTGTCCAAGGCCAGGTTGGAGCAGCCTGGGCTAGTGGAAGGTGTCCCTGCCCATGGCAGGGGGTGGGACTGGGTGGGTTTTAAGGTCCCTTCCCACCCCAAACCATTCTGGGATTCTATGAATTCAATGTGGGTTTCCTACCCAGAGAGAAACCATCCACCCTGTGCTTACTGAGGGTACAAACACCTCCTCCACCAGCCCTCCAGGGAATTTCAGGCCTCGCCTCCATCAGGTGCATCAGTGCTTACACACATCCCCACAGGCTCTGCTGTGCCTTGTCAGGCTCCATTCACCCCAAAAAGCACCAAAGTGCAAATGCAGCAGCTCCCTGAAGACATTCAGGGCCTGGTTCTGCACAACAGGGTAGAAAAGGGCACGGGGCAGGTGAAGACACAGCTTGAACTGCATCACCCCCCCCACACACAGGCTGATTACACGAGGCTGGACTCGAGCCAAGCCAAGTCTGTGCACAAACTCTCCAGAAATAGCAGGTGAATCATCTGTGAGGTGCATGTGTGTGGGACGTGGAGTCACAGCAGCTCCATTTAAAGCACACACCTGCCTGAGCCCCGACCTGCGGGGGCACAGCCAGTGATTTCACACCCACACAGCCTGTCCCCACTGCAGTGCTCCCGATGGCCCTGCCCAGACAAACTCTCTGTGGGGAGAGGTGACATTTAAACCCACCGTGCCACTTTGCAACTGTCCTGTTCCAGAGTTCCCCTCCCACAGCAGCTCTGTGCTGACTGAGAGGCAGAGAGAGCTGTTTACCAGGAACACCCCTTGGGTTTACCCTGTAACACAACTGTCCTGGCAGCAAAATGCCCCCAAAGATGAATATTCACTCGTGTTCCCTGTTCCCCATGTGGCTCAGTTTGTGTTTTGCTCTGTCAGCAGACACACATGAATGCTCTCTCCGAAATCATGGATGCCCTGATGCTGAAAAGCCTTTCCTGCTGCTGCATCCCTTGTAAACAGAACATCCTGGGAAGCACAGCTGCCCCCAGGCTTGATTTGAGCAAAAGCCTCTCCTGACCTCAGTGGATTCCAAACACGACTCACGGGCAGAGTGTGCTTGGCTCCAGAGTGGGACAGGGCAGAGAGCAGGTCTTGAGGATACCCCTGCACCCATCCCAGTGTGGATCACTGAGACAGCCGGAATAATCTGCAACCAGCATTTATGGTCACTGAGCAGAGCATCAGACACCTCCCACCAGCCCAGGGTGCTCCAAGCCCTAACCTGGCCTTGGACACTGCCAGGGATGGGGCAGCCACAGCTGCTCTGGGCAACAGTGTCAAGGTATTGTTCAAATTTGTCTTGTCACAGCTACAGACAAATTTGGGAGGCTCCACTGTGCCTTTGTGCACACACCCACCAAGAGCTGAGCATAAATTCAACACAGTTTTTTCTCTACCAGCAAACTCACACCATGTTGCTTGTGCAGGTGACAAATAAGAGCTGCAGCTCCTCAAAGATCTACCTAATGATGAGAAACTCTAACAAACACAACAGCAAAGACTTCCAAGAGCAGGAGGTTGGGCTGAAGGAGCACGAAGGATCTCACAGTACCAAGTTTCCCCCTGGCATTGTCAAAGACAAAAATTAAGTCCCATCCCTTGTTCAAATACAATTTTGCCCTAAAGAGCTGTGCTTGCTGGTCAAGATTCTACTGATCATAAGGGAGGACAAGCTTAAAAATGCTTCTAGTTCATGTCTGAGACAAAGAGGCTCAGCTCTGGTAAGCTGGGAGATAAGGAGAGTGATCACAGGGGTCTCCTGCAGAGGGGAGTTTATTGGTTATTCCTCCTGTAGAGCAGAACAGCGACAAAGCAGAGGGTGACTTATGATGTGACACATTCAGGATCTCATCCCAAGCTCAGTGGTTTCACAGGGCACAAGTCTGAGGGAGCATTTCTCCTCCAGATCCAAACCAGGGCTCTCATCTCTCCTCTCCACAGTGGCTTTGGAAGCTCCTTCTCCCTCTCCAAGAATAATCCTCCCAACCAGCAGCAGGACTTTGGGAAGCTCCTTTGTTTGTCTGGAGCTCCAGGATTCTCACCTGACTGTGAACCTGCCTGGGAGGCACCAGGACCTGCCACGTTCCCTCACACAGATCCCAGAGGCAGCTGCTGGGGCCCTGCTTCACTTGCCACTGTGACCACAGGCAGAAAAACAATTAAAAGGCAGCTTTTGACATCCCTGAAATCACTTTTTTTTCCTTCCAACCACAGCCAGAGTCTTGGGTGCTCCTCTTAAAAACTTGAGAAGCAATCCCAACTCTCTAACCCTGACCATTCTCAAAATGTGAGAATCATTTCAAGAAAAGCACTACATGAATCTGCTGCCAGGACTAGCATTGTTGGCCACTAAATTATGTAGCAATAATGGCACTAATGCCTCCTCCAGGAGCCAGTCCCTGGTGTGCAAATACAGCACAAGCTGCAGACCTTCTGGCTTTCTACTGGTTCCAATCAGTGCCTCAGAAAGAAGTGCCAAACCCTCACCAGGTAGGACCTGGCTTTGCAAGGTCAGTGGGGCACATCTGTGCCCCTGACCCCCAGATGTCAAAATAAGCTTTTAGATAGTTTTGGCTTTCACTTCCTTGTTTCCCTTGCTTGCTGAGTGATGGTGACTCCACCACCCAGCTCTCCTGATGAAAGGATCGTTTGTGAGAAGCCTGGGAAGTGTGGATTTGATTCATTTCTGAACTTATTTATTTCAACT